GGCTGAGAACCAAAAGAAGACGGATTTAGTGGTGCTTTGTGGCCTTGTTAGAACTACATATGCGTTAAACAAGTATTAAGCAATGAAAACATAAAATGGTGAAATAACAGAGACAGATTATGATAAATGGCAGTGGCAAAATGGCCAATACTACACTCCAACAAATCAAAATGCAATTAATTAATGTTCAAAAACAATTTTAGTTATGAGAATGAAGATTATGTCAGTAATTGCAATTGTGATGGTAGTCTAGATCGACGTACATCCGTGCACACATTTTATGTCTGTTCCAACAAAGCTCATTTTGTTGTTGAAGAGAATTATTGAAACACAGGTTCAATTATATCGGTTATTGGAATCATTGTACGATTTATGTTATTTTTTCAGAGATTTGGTTTATAATCGATATATCTTCGTGATGATTACAGTCCTTTGTTCTTTGCATAAAGTATCGGATATAAAAATAATTGTTAATGATAAGAATTCACACCAGTACTTTATATACAACGACACGGTGTACATAAAGAATTATGTGGTAGTGAAAGACCTGTTCAGTATATTTTCCAATTCTCGCCAAGAGAGATTATAACCGTATTTAGAAATTAATTATCTAATGGCAGTTCGTGGACCAAGTAGTGGAGTAATACCAGTAGCTTAGTATACTTCTTGTTAACATTAGGGTTGAATGAACTCTTTAACATAACTCATTTAATATACGCAGGCTGTCTCTCCCTCGCATGGTAGTTGTTGTCTTGCCGGTCACTGACACGCGAAATAAAATTGTTTTCGTGTCAGATAAATGTTGTTTACCCACTTTAGTAAAGACGCTTACTCATACATACACACATTGATACATACAAGCAGTACATACATTTGCATGTTCACATAGATATGAACATAATGACGCACATAATCATGCATACATGGTAGACAATATATATATATATATATATATTATATATATATATATATATATATATATATATATATTATATATATATATATATATACACACACACACACACACACAAAAGGTATAATGACCTGTTGTAGATGAGTGTAACAAGTTAAGATCATAAGTGCATTTACCTCTCTCTGTCTACACAGAATTAAAAGGAAAAGAAAAACTCGGACTCACCTTCCAGTTTCTTCTTCGAGAAAAAAGACCGATTGCAGATGAGGACTGACGGAAGCTCAAGTCCATCCCGTGAGAGCAGCACCGTTGTCTGGAAATTGAAAGAAAGAAGAAGAAAAAAGAATCAGATATTTGAGCTGTTCATTGCAGTGATTTCATTGTTCATTTTTTTCACGTTACGTTCGCATGACGAGAACAATCGTGTAGTGTCACGAGTCTTGCACAGATGTGAAATTGAACAAATTTACATTATCTACTTTCCCCGCCACATTCGCCACGCAGAGACAGCAAATCATGTTGTATAAAATATGCTGTTTATAATATTTACTTTAGAAATATGCCTTTCTTAAAGCAACAGTGATAACACTGTAGCAGCAATAGTAGTAGTTGCATTAGTGACTGTGGAAAGTAGTAGCGACAGGCGTAGTAGTGATGTAGGTAGAAATAGTAGTAGAAGTATTGTTGTCACACAGACACACACACACACACACACACACACACACACACACACACACACACACACACACACACACACACACACACACACACACATACACATACAGAAAGAGAGAGAGATACATAGATATATATAAAAACATATTTCAGGAAAATTTGCTCCACCAACCCTCCATCAGATCTAATCTGCAACAACCTTAACCAAGCCATCAATCCCAATCCTTTTCCCGCAGATGGAGCGCAGGAATGGCGCGGGGCTGGAGCTCCTTCCTCCAGTTGGAATAACCCCAGAGATGGCCCTCCTCCCCTCGCTAAGAAGTGGCCCCGCTGGAAGGCCCCTTGGGGAGGGATGGCCAAACGGTTCGGAGGTCTTATCAAGTGGGTATGATGGCAACCACTGTGGACCTCTCTGCCACGGGGTTTCAACTTCCCATATTTTATTACATGTTCCATCCGTTCGAGCCGTATGAACAGGAAACCTGGTGGGATGGCTGATGCCGGCCAGTTTTTGTTTACGTAGTGTAATAAACTAGAGAGATTAATGCCGTATACAGAGCATCTTTTCCCTCTTTTCCTATATTCGAACAAGAGGAACGGTCTGATTCCAACCTCTCTAATTACCTTGGCAATGTGACCGGTCTCGTCGACTAATTTAGCGTTGAGTCGCCGTTACCCCTTTTGCAAAGGTTCCAATAATACTTCCAGAATGACGTCGGTGTATATCCGTTAAGCACATGGGCTGCCATGCTCAGCTTCTCCTCGTTGGCTTCCGTAATAAGTAGGGGCGTGAGAGGGTAATTAAAGTGATCTCTATATGGCAAAGTGTAAACGAACCTTATTAAACGACGAACTTTCTTAAACGACCAAGACCACCCCCATAAAACCCAACCAGGTACGGGATGAGATCAGGCTCGAACTGGTCCTTCCATACCTGCAGCCTCCACGACCGTCTCCTCCCATCGTCAGTCCGGAGAAACACTCACAAGACCCCCAAGAGAATCACCTGAAGGAGAACCACGAACCCCAACCCCCTTTCCCCTTCCCTTCCCCAAGCAATAACTCGAAACACCCTTACCTGCGACTCCACTTCTCGCCTCGAAAAGTCAACGAAGAGCTGCGTGGCGACGACGCCGAGGTAGAGGCCAAAACAGATCGTCGCCACGAGCCAGAAGATGCCCAGGGCATTGTGGCGGTTGTTCCAGGCGTGTCCGATTCCGTGGGCGGTGCTCTCCTGGCACAGCAGTTCGCTCAGCTCCAGAAAGGATCGCTCTTGGATGAAGTCCTGGGGAGGCGAGGCGCATCCGCAGATTAGTGGTTTTCATCACGAGTTCATGATTGATATTATTGTTATTTACATGTTTATATATTTGGTGTTGTTATTATCATTGTTGTTGTTATCATTATTATTTTTTATTATCATTTTCATTATCATTATCAACATAAATATTGTTATTATTACTATTACTATTGTTATTGTTATTGACATTATGGTATTTATCACCATCGTCATCACTACTATCATCATTATTACTATTATCATTATTATATTATTGTTATTATCATCACCATTATTGTTATTGTTGTTATCATTATTCATTATTATTTTGTCATTATTATTATTATCATAATCATCGCCATCATTACATTCAAATTTACCATATTATCCTCATATTCTTCCCTTTTTCATTGTGACAATTTTATCCTTGATATGTTGCCGTTGTTGTAGTTTTCGTAGTACTAACATCATTCTAATTTTCTTAATTATATTGTCACCATTCATATCATCATCAATACCATCACCACCACCATAATTATCACTGCTGGCAACTTTGTTACAACAGTGACTATTGCTGGCTGTAATGATATCAAGATGTTGCAATAGTAGTAGTCTTGATAGTGTTCGTATGATAAGAATCATGATACATAGGTTATTAGATCAAATTGATTCTTAAGAGACTCTAATGAGACTTATTATGCAAGTGTTAATCTATACTGCGTAGTTTATGTCAACAATGATACCTTCATCTTGCATAAAATATTCATGTGTGATTGGTCTTGCTCTGTGCATGACCACCAACGTTATTGCAAATTATATTTACTGCCTTGATCCGAACTATGAAATAATTACTGAATATATCGCTTGGAAAATGTCTCCTTATAAGGGAGTTCTTAATGGAAGACCTGAACCCCAAATAAAGTGACGTTTCCTGATTACCCTTCATTAGGCAGTGTGTAAATGTGACCTATCTAGAAGAGTGCCAGGAACACAGTATAATTTGGAATAATTATGGCTGGGGGTATCTAATTTACGACACTATCAGCTCGACATGATGACAAACACTCATTTTTCTCCTTAGCTGATAAAGATATACCAGTTTGGATACACGAAATGTCTCTCGAAGGAAAAAAAAGACAAAGGTTATATTCTTAATATGGTATAGGTAGTATCGTACTTGTCCTGTTAAAGATCTGCCAGTTTCAGGGCACTAAACTCACTCACTCACTCACTCACTCACTCACTCTCTCAAAAAAAAAAAAAAAAAAAAAAAAAAGTGTCAAATACTTGCCCTGTTAAAGATCTATCTATTGCAATATACGAAAAACAAACAAACAAACAAAGGTTCCTTGTGTATCTGGTAACACAACACTCACCCCACGCACCTCCTACAAGACGTACCTAATAACCAACTAACCTTATCGTATTCGAAGCTGTATTTACCGATCTTTCTGACTCTCTTGGCGCCACTGTTTGCCATGGCTGAGCGAGTCCCCGGCCCGCGTTTCGAAGCTGTAAGGGTCGCCAGCACCAGCGGCCCGGGATGAGGTGGTCGCGCGGGGAAACACAGAGTGAAACATGAAACAACTCTAATTCTGCTATAACACTGGCCACGCCCTCACTCTCAACACGGGGGGGGGGGCATCAGGGGTAATCCTGTGATAGATACAGGCTTGTCTACTTACGCCCACGCATATAGCAGCGCGATACACATGCGTACATATGAACGTATATTCACGTTCAAAAACACACACACGTTCAGATGCTTACACTCAAGTTCACATTTCCGTTCAGAAATATATATAGATGCTGAGAGAAAAACACTGAGACACATTCGCACACTAATTGTTTCTACTACGAACTGTATTCATATTGAAAATTGTAGAAAAAGTACGAATGAGAATGAATATCTTCAAAATACAAGAGGTTTATTTGACCGGTTTCGAATACATCTGCGTCAGAAATGCGTGAAGATTCGAAACCGGTCAAATACATCTCTTGTATTGCGAAGATATCCAGTCTCATTCATAACTTTTCCATATGTTTCTATTGCATATACATACACACACACGCACGACCAGGCAGATGAAATAATTCAACTTCAATAATTTTCTAGGTGTTTTACCAACCACA